ATACCATCAATTCCTGGTGCCTTGGTTCTTTGTCAGTGCTTTCAATATGCTTTGGACTTCTTCCTTGAGGATCATTGGCTCTTGATTATATGCTACCTCCTGAAATGGTAGGAATTGACTATTTCTTTTTAGTACAGTGACTCTATGTATTCCTTCCATCTTCTTTTGATGCTTTCTGCATCATTCAATAATTTGCCCAGAGAATCCTTCAATACTGCAAGTGGAGACTTGAATGTTTTCTTCAGTTCTCTCAGCTTGAGAAATGCTAAGCACATTCTTCCCCTTTGATTTTCTATAACTCCAGGTCCTTGCACATTTCATTATAGCATTTGATTTTGTATTCTTGAGCTGACCTTTGAAATTTTCTATCAGCTCTTGTACTTCCTCATTTCTTCCACCTGCTTTAGCATCATAATGCTGGAAAGTAAGTTTAAGAGTCTTTTCTGACATCCACTTTGATCTTTTCCTTCTTTCTTGTCTTCTTAATGACTTTTGCTTTCTTCCTATATGATGTTTTTGATGTCACCCCACAACTCTCTGGTTTTCAATCTTTTGTGTCTAATGCATCAAATCTATTCTTGAGATGATCTCTAAATTCAGGTTGGATATATTCAAGGTTATATTTTGGCTCTCATGTACATGTTTTCATTTTCTTCGGCTTTAGTTTGAATTTGCATATGAGCAATTGATGGTCTGTTCCACAATCTGCCCGTGGCCTTGTTTTGGCTGATGATATGGAGCTTTTTTCCCACTGTCTCTTTCCACAGTTGTAGTCAATTGGATTTCTGTGTATTCCATCTGGTGACGTCCATGCGTATAGTCATCTTTTATACTGTTTTAAAAAGGTATTTGAAATGAACAAAAAATTGGTCTTTCAGAATTCTATCAAGCGATCTCCAGCATCATTTCTATCACCAAGGCTATATTTTCAAACTACTGATCCTTCCTCTTTTTTTCCAACCTTTGCAATCCAATCGCCAGTAATTATCAATACATATTGCACTCCACTATATATACACACACGTACATGGAATCCTAAGTTTGGCGCTGCAGTGTAATGCGCTAGACTACAAGGTCAGTTTGAACTGCAAGCTTGATGGTTCAAACTCACCAGCTGCTACTCAGACACTCTATACAGCGTTGCTATGGGTCAGAACCAGCTCAATGGCACTTAACAATACATATACATATATTTTTACGTGTCTGTGTGTATAGATAGATAGATAGATAGATAGATAGATAGATAGATAGATTTGCTTGTTGCTAAGTGCCATTGAGTCGGGATCCGACTCATAGTGACCCTGTACAGAGTTCCCAAGGAGCAGCTGGTGAGTTGGAACTGCCCGCTTTAACGGCCACACCCGATGTTGTAGTTTACTGCATTAACCAGCAACGCCACACCAGAAATCCATATATTTCATATATAAAATAAAAAGGACAACAGTATAGATGAGAAAGTTTAAGAGGCATTAAGTCTAAATAAGAGTCCTAGTGTGGCACTGTAGGATAAACACAAGATTGCTAACCTCAGGGTCAGCAGTTCAACTGCAACTTGGAAACTATAAGTTGGAGCTGACTTGACAACACTTACCGAGAAGTGTAAATCATGGGCAGGTAAAACTAAAGCAGAAATAGCAAAAATATGTTGGCACATTGTGAACAATAGAATCAAGGTCACTGAACAGTGTGTGAACAGTAGATAGAGTTGATGGGCAGCATGTTTTGAGGAGTGTATCTTCACCAAAAATAAAATTTAAAAAGGAACACTCTGGAAAAATGACCATTGATAATCTCAGAGATTTCAATATGAAAGATAGAATGAAAAACTTTGTAAAGGGTTGGAAATAAAACTGAGGAGTTCTTTAAAGAATTAAAACAAAAATATGGACTGTTTTTTTTATTTAAAGGAGATAAAATTAGAAGACTAGTTCAGTGGCCCAAATGCCAAAATATCAGAATTTCACGAGAGAATTTAAGAAATGGGGAGGAAGTAATCAAACAAATAACTTAAGAAAATCTCCCCGAATGAAGGACACTAAGCTTGCAGATGTAAAGGGCCCACTGCAGTCCTACCATAATGCATGAAAGAGATGTACACTCAGGTGGCACACCATCAAACATTTCAGAACACAGTGCAGCAGAGGTCTTACAAGCTATGGGAAAATAAGTCACATAGGAAAGGACCAAGACTGTCAACAGCATTAGATTCTCCAAAAAAATGCTAGAAGCAAGAAAAATTAGAACAAAGCCTTTAAAATCTGAGGAAAAGTTATTTCCAACCCAAAATTAGTTCCAACCTAAACTTTTAATTACGCATGAGGATCAGGTGAAAAAAAGACCTTTCCAGATAAGCAAGGATTCAAAACACTGACTTCCTGAACTCTTTCTCAGGAGCATAGTAGGTGGTTTGACCTCTACAAAGAAGGTGTAACTAAGAGAAAGCCACAGGGTCCTAGGAAACAGGAGCTTCATCACAAAAAAAGGTGCAAAGGGAAGCAGCAGGACAATAGTGGAATGAGACTCTACAACAGTTGATTGCTGCAAGACTAAAGAGCAAACAGTCCAGACAAAAGAAGGTCAGAAGGCTCTAGGAAAGATTTCTTCACGATAAAGGAAGTGATGAAATACCCTTGTGGGGCTAAGAGTTACTTTACCTCAAGCAGTTTGGCTTTTGTCCCTGTTCTCTGTGAAATAAACCTTGGAGCAACTGGGCTGCAGTGGCCAGTTACTGAGGTAATTAATACAAACCTGAGGGTTTAATAACTAGGGGCCAAGGTAAGCACCTGGTAACCAATATTAAATGCATGGGCTAGCGGATAAAAGAGTACCAGAGTAGTGCTGGGGGGTAATGCACTGGACTGCAAGGTTGGTTTGAACAGCAAGGTTGGCACTCCAAATTCACCAGCATCTCCTTGGAAACTCCATATAGAATCGCTATGAGTTGGAACCAACTTGAAGGCACTTAACAACAATAACAAGCTGATAAAAGCCTGAAACACTAAAGCTTGCTGAAGCTTCCTGAGGGAGAGAATCTTGGAAGGAAAGGTTTCCCAAGTACTCTCTTCAAGGACCTTTTCAAGCCTGCCCAAGCATCTCTTCATATTGCTCCTGAGTCACTCCTGAAGTGCATCCGTATTTCCTGCATGTTTGTAAACTATACGCCTGTGCTGTATCCTTTTACTCTGATCAACCACATAGCAAAGCAAAATCTGTGAGTCCCGTGTGACATTACTGTGAACATCTAAACTCTGCAAAGAGAGAGGGAGTGCTGAGGGAAAGAAGAGGCTGGAACCAAGGACAATGGAGACCTTGGTGAGAGTTGACCCCCACCTCCTAGTTAGTTACTCACTACATTGCTTGCTCACTATATGCGTCTGAATACACTAGAATAGTCAAACAACTGTGGGAGAACTGAAGTACAACACTAAGAAAAGAAACAAAAACAGACACTTACTCATTTTATGGGGAAAAAGAAAATCGTACAGAAAGGAAAAGTAATTCAAATGTACTACATGGCTCAGCAATGAATACTATTAGTGAAGTCATAATAATGCACACACCGTAAAGACTATTTTAACAAAAATTCTGATGAGAACGTTATGTGGGTAAAGGTGGCCTGTGGGTGGGCAAATGTATTTTGGGGTATGAAAGCTGCGCTCACCTTGTATTAACAGATAGCTCCTAAAATTGAAAAAAATTCAAGAAATAGCTCATATAGGATGTCTTCTGAGGTATGCAGGAAATCAATAAATCAGCTATTTAACATGGACAACTGTGAGGAATAATAGGAAATTTGAGGAATACTGAGACTAGGAATAACTGTACTTTTTTTCCTTAAAAGCTCCATAACAACATTTTGATGCTTTAAATACATGCATATGTAACTCAGAATAAAAAAACCCGAAACACTGAAATAGGAAAATGCCCACAAGCTCACATACACACAGTATTCCAAACAGAAAAGCATGTTCTTTCTCTCTCTCACTTTTTTTAAATCTTAAAGGCAAAACAAAACATGGTATGTATGAGGAATTTAAAACAGCAGGAGCCCAGGGTATGAAAGGGAGAATGAGAATAGACACTACTGGAGAGATCAGCAAATGCTGCTTTTTAGGAATTAACAGATGTTCTACAAATGGAGTCCTGGTGTGGTGCAGATAGATAAGCACTGGATCACAAGGTCGGCGGTTCAAATTCAACAGCCACTCCTCAGAAACCCTATACAGGGTCACTATAAATCAGAATCTGTTCAACTTAACAACAACAACATACAATTAAAAAGGCGCCCTGATGGCACAGTGATTAAAGTGCTCAGCTGGTAACCAAAACGGTGGTAGTTTGAGAACTCGCTAGCAACTCTATGGGAGAAAGATGCGGTAGTCAGCTTCCATAAGGATCTGGGGTCTTGTAAATCCTATGGAACAGTTCCACTCTGACCTTTAGGGTCGTTATGAGTTGGAGTCAACTCAACCACAGTGGGTTTGGTTTGGTTTTTCGATACAATGCATGGTTTATATCGAGCCAATTTGAGGAGGCTTCAAAAAGTTCGTAGAAAAAATGAAATGAAAAGATAAAAAAGTTTTTAACTTTTTATAAACTTTTTATAAGAGATACTCAAGGACTTCAAAAAGTTTGCAGAATAACTCCATTATCTTTTAATCCTATTTTTCTATGAACTTTTTGAAGTCCCTCATATATACAGAAATTTCTAAAAGTGAGATGTCACAAACCTATACTTTAAATAAGTATTATTCAAAAAAGCAGATAAAACACACCATGAAACTCAATTCTTGTTAAATCTAGGTTATGGATATCACATGTGGGTACTTATCATACTATTTGTATTTTTCAGTATGTTTAAATTTTCATAATAAAAAAAAAATCAAGAAAAAATTACTTTGTAAAGATCTATGCATTAGGTAGTGAATTCAATTCCCATGACTATCTTTAAATAGGAATACAGGTTGGGGAAGACTACACTCCTTCCACATTTATCTTACCATAGCCTGCCATGGAAGCACCGTTCTCCACATCCACTGTGTTCTTGTTTTCCTCTGCTAGGGCTTTAACATATCTCTTGCTTAAATCTAGTATTTGTTCACGTAACTTGACACTGCTTTGATGTCTTGGTTGCTGAAAAGTATAATGCAGTAACATCAATCCCCAAATGAGTCCAAATATAAGCAGCAGCAAACTCAGTTTCTGAGACATGTTTTTTCTTGCAATTGTAAAAAGCATTTCTGATGAAGTGAACAGACTTGATTGAAAAGTGGTTGCAAGATACAAGTCACCAAACAGCCAAATCTTTTGAAAAGAAAAAAATTCTTCCTCTAATATTTTGTATCCTTCATCTTAAGCAGTTGTCTCCAGCTCTTAATAAACTCTGTAAAACCAAGAAGAGAAAAAGGCAATTAGTCTTTATCTACATCAGTAATGTAACAGAAGGATAGGTTTAAGAAGAGATTCTACAAAGGTCACCTTCTTTGACAACTTTCTCTACCAGTAAGTAAGCCTTCAGGTCTTTTATCAGTTTCATTTACAAAGCTCTTCAAAAAATTTAAACTAGAAATAAATATCAATTTGTTGGAAATATCTGAAAAAATATACCATAATCAGAGAACTCTACAAATGGCATATTCTTGTTTATAACTAAAACCAGAGACATAGATCAAGATTTGCAGAAGATCTCAGTCTGTCCAAAGACATGCCATTCTAAAGTTATTCCTCTAAAAAAAGAAAGAAAGAGTAGGCACCAAAATAACGTTAGAAATGAGGAAAGGTTAAACACAAAATAAAATCAGAACACCTGCCTGAATTCCCATAATACAAATTAAATGTATCAATGTTTAAAAATGTCAGTATAAGACATTACTTAGTGAGAAGTAGATAACTCTAAGAAAAAAATAAGTTTTAATTTCGAGGTTTACACCTTATGAAAGTAAGCTAACCATAGTAAACATCTGACAACAAGTGCTAAAACAGGTCAAAACATTTTTCTACATTTCCAACATTATAATTACAAAATTTAAATGATGTAAGTATGTATTTCTACAATTCAAAAAGAGAAATGATGACAATCATGGAATCCACAAAGACCTGGAGGATAAAATGTATAAATGAATCCTCACCAAAGTGTGGAGCAAAGGTAACCCTCTGATTCCATCAATGGAACAAAAATCTACTGAGGCTACAACATACTGGCATCAAAAGGACATCTCACAAGGATTATTTCTTAACTTAAAAAAAATAATCATTAAGAACTTTTAACTACTAGATAAGGACCTCTGGTGGCACTGAGGGTCAAGCATTGGGATGCTAATTGCCAGGTCAGTGGTTCAAACTCACCAGTGACTGAGGGAGAAAAATGAAGCTGTCTGTTCCCACAAAGATTCACAGCCTTTATCCTCTGTAGAGGAGTCCTGGTATGGTGTTGTGGGTTGTTAATGCACTAGACTGCAAGGTCAGTTTCAACCACAAGGTCAGTGGTTCAAGCTCACCAGCTACTCCAAGGAAACCCTATACAGGGTCACTATGGGTTGGAACCAACTTGACAGCAGTTAATAACAACATCTCCAATTTATTCTTCCTTTTTAAACTGTTCATCATCACTGTGTGCTATCAAGTCAATTCTGACTCATCACCACCTTCATGTGAGTAGAACTGTCCCGCAGGGTTTTCTAGGCATGGCACAGTGGTTAAAGCGCTTGGATGCTAACCAAAAGGCCAGTGGTTCAAATCCACAAGCCATTCCAAAGGAGAAGGATGTGGCAGTCTGCTTCCATAAAGATTTACAGTCTTGGAACCCTATGGGGCAGTTCTACCCTGTTCTATAGGGTCAGGATGAAGTGGAATGGATATGACAGCATTGGGTTGGGCTTGGCTGACTCATCTCTCTCTGTCCTGATCTCATACCACCCACTCCCCTCTTTGTTCCCTGCACTACAGAAACACTAGCCAATTCTTTCTGACCTTAGGGGATTTTCTTTATACATCTACTACTTCCCTGTTTTGGAGTCCTCATGTGGCACTGTAGGATAAACAAGGTCAGCGGTTCAAACTCACCAGCTTCTCATTAGAAACCCTATGTTGTTGTTGTTGTTGTGTGCCGTGGAGTCGGTTCCGACTCATAGCGACCCTGTACAGGGTTTTCAAGGCTGTAAATCTTTACGGGAGCAGAATGCCTCATCTTACTCCCACGGAACAGCTGGTGGTTTCGAAATGCTGACCTTGCGGTTTGCAGCCAGATTCGTAACCACTACGCTACCACTGACTCCACAGCGCTTAACAACAACTTCCCTGTTTGAAAGTGCTTCCTGTGGCTTGTTTGTTTTCATCCTTTAGTACTTAGCTCAAATGTCACCTTTTCAAATAGTAGCATTCCCATCCTCTACCCTACCTCCATCCTCAAGATAAAATCTTGTTGTTGTTGTTGTTAAGTGCCGTCGAGACGGTTCCGACCCATAGCGACCCTGTACAGGGTTTCCGAGGGTGTAAATCTTTATGGGAGTAGAAAGCCTCATCTTTCTCCCACGGAGCGGCTGGTAGTTTCGAACCGCTGACCTTAAGGTTCACAGCCCGATTCGTAACCACTACGCTACCAGAGCTCCTAAGATAAAACTTAGTGGTGATTAAACAACACTTCATACTACTCAGTAAATATTAATCTTTATTAAACAATAACCACTAATTCTTGATAATTTGAATATTTCAAGTTAATATACAGAAGTTTCACCAGACCCAAATTTAAAAGTTCTCATTGCCCTCCATAATGCAGTCCATACCAACCATATTTATTTCCCATGAGCCCCCATCAAGCCAGTCTTCTCACTGTCTCATGTGGTTGCTGTTTAGTTGTCAGGGAGTCAATTCTGACTCATGGTCACCCAAGCCCTCTGTCTCATTACCACTTAGAGATTTCTATTGTCCAAGCATGTTTCCTTATAACCTCTCAGTCAGTTAGAGACAGTTCTCAGAGAGGTTGTAGGCTTGGAAATGTTTCTACTCAGAATTTGTGGATAACAAGAACTATTTAATTGGTATTAATCACCGAAGAATTCTTGTTGTTGTTGTTGAGTGCCACAGAGTTGGTTCTGATTCATAGTGACCCTGTATAGGGTTTTCAAGGAGTGACTGGTACGTTTGAACTGCCAACCGTATGGTTATCAGTCCAGCACTTGCTTATCCTACAGAGCCACAGCAGAATTCTACCTTGTGGTGGTTGTTGCTAAGCACTTTCGGGTGGCTTCCAACTTATAGCAACCAAGTAGGGTTTCTGAGGAGTGGCTGGTGAGTTTGAACTGCCGAGGTTAGCAGTCCAATATTATCATACAGCACAACACAGAACAACATATTGTTCACGAGAACAGTTCACCTTCCAAATATCCCAAAAGGAAACAAGGGTCTATGCTTGAAGTTACCCTAGCAGAAAGATTTCAAAACTCATTATCTTATTCTAGCCTACATTCTCATCATCTAACTCCCACAGAACATTACACCAACTGACTTTACACCTCATATCACACAATCATATGTGTAAGCCTTGTCTCCTTGATCAACTGCCAGGTCCCTTAATAACATGCCCTGCACCTCTGTCACACCCCACACCCCCACCCCAGGTGTAGGAAACAAGCAGCAGCCACTGAGTGATGCCTTATGGTTTACTTTTCAACATAACTCTGACTGACCCTTAGCTTCCAAGCAACAGCATGACCTGCTTGAAATTTTTTTTCGGAAGGGGAAGAGGATGGAAATTTGGAAGTAAAATAAAAGTGTCATCAATTATCCATTTCTGGGTTAGAAGAATCTGAGAAGAAATCTAATGTAATTGGCTCACATTTCCAATGAAAAAACCAAAGCCCAGAGATATTCATGTCTTTGACTAAAATGAGACTAGTTAGTGGTGGCAGAAACTGTACAGTTTGTGACTCACTGTCTAGGTTTTTCTCTATACCACATCACTTCCTTACCTCCAATTGGAAAGATTAGGTTTGTAAATACTGAATAAATAGTAATACTGAATGAAGCTCTGTTCGCCCTCTCATTTAAAAAAAGTAACCAAAAAATAGTAATAGAAATTTAGGGCCATGATTCTAAACTCCTGAAGATGTGGAACTTATATTATTCATAAAAGTATCATGTTGGCAAATTAAGATTTCAAATAAGTCTTATCAAAGTATTACAAACTCACTTCAAGAAGGATTTAAGAAATCATTGATATTAGGTTTTTATACAGACTAGAATTTTTTAAAACATAAAACAAAGAAAACTGCAAGGTCCTTTGAAGGTAGAGGCCTTCATCATGATTGGCAGCACACTGAGAAGAACAGCTTTCCAGAGAAAATAAAACAACAAACCTCAGGAGGGAGAGATACAGACAAGCCCAGACTCAGACATAACCTTTGCTACATGTAGTTTCATTGTAAGAATGACAGGACTAGGCTTGCTCATTAACTTGTTCACTCATTCATTCACAGTATTTACTAAACCACGATGAGTACAATTTGTTCCAACGACAGACCCAACAGCAGTTATCCATCCATCCATCTATCCTTATTCACTTAAAAATGCCGATGGACGCTCATCACCTCTCCAGTAACCCCTAGCCCTTCATCCTTTCATCCACACTAACTGGACAAATAAACTGCTCAGGTGAAGCTGATTAGCATTACATGCACAGCACCTGAGTTCACCACAATAGCCACAGAATACAAAAATCCGCATCTGAGCAGGTCCAGGTAGTTCAAACCCTGCTGTTCAAGGATCGACTGTATAAGTGCCAGAAGAAACTTGGCTACGCACTGAAACAGGATGGTGAAAAAGAATAGATAGGATTGTTTATGCTTTAGTTCGAGTGGGACAATAAACAAGCAAACAAGCGAACTTCTGCATAGAATAAGTTCTATGAAGAAAATAAATAAGGTAATGTGAGATCAAAATGACTAGGGAAGTCTACATGAGGTGTGGGGTCAAGGAAGGTCCTCTGAGGAAGTAACTAACCTTTGAACTGAGGAGAATGGATACATACAGTCTGGTTCAAACTTCCTTCCAACAAAAACCTTTAGCATTCTTTTCTGACCAAAATCTTGGAAGCAGGCAATAAATTTCTTATTCCTATTCTCCTTAAGAAGAAACCAATGAGAACAAGAAGGATCCCAATCCTCAGGATGGAATGGCCAGGTCAGAAGAAATTATCCAGAGCTAGCAGAAGCAAACTCACAAGCAAAGAAAGCTCCCAGTTA